TACTTTATTCACTTGAAATACTTAGACTGAATGAGGCATCCACCTTGAAAATGTCACTATTGCCTACTTCCTAGATCATCAAGATTCCTTCCCTGTTCTTGCACATTACTAAACTCTGTGTCCCCAGAGACAGAAGGGACTTATTTTTATGTAATTCTGAAAAGAGTTAATGCCCTTTTAGCTCTCAGCTGACTATTTACTCACAAACCAAATGCACAATTTGCTCATTACCATAGCTCGAGGGCAAGGTCGAGAGTATTAGACAGTACAGTGCCCTCATGCTTGTTGCTCGACTACATTCCTGACATGATGAATAAAGCCTCGTGCACACATAATGTGCAGTAACCATGGCAACTCTTTACAACAAGGATAATGCACTTTGCGCTTCTCTATCTCACAACAAACTCATTGAGTACATGTAGGACTAGAACCATTATTGCAGACAGCTCTTTATTTTCACCCATCATGCTATACATTTACTCATCAAAAATGCATCAGATTAAAGCACCATATGTGAAAAAGCCTTACAATGATCAGTGATGGGTGTAGAAGCTAATAAAGCATTATTCTGAAATACACTGTTCATCTCTAGACTAATCTTTTGATGTTTTCTTCTCAGCTTCTTTCTCAGACTCTCTTCTACATCTGATTCTCTCTCAATCTCTACTACATGTATCACTGTCTGTCTGTCTCTGTCTGTCTCTCTGTCTCTCTCTCTCTCTCTCTCTCTCTCTCCCTCCCTCCCTATCTCTCTCTCTCTCTCTCTCTCTCTCTCCCTCTCTCTCACCCCTTTAAATTGGCATTTTCTTTATCAACACTATGCAGGCATTGGTGAAAGTAGAAAATGGCCAATCCACTCAGACATAAGGATTTCCATCTATTTATGAAAACGCACTAACTACATGTACATGAATCTAAACACTATCAGATGCTTACACCTTCTAGGTCTATCTTGGACACTGTATACATGTACCTATCCCTGTACTTCTATCATGATATCTTTCCCATTCTGTGTATGTCTACATGTACCTGCCTGCATGCCTTCCTACACCCCACCCACCTCACCCCCCCCCCCCCCTCTCTCTCTCTCTCTCTCTCTATATATATACATGTATATCACTAACTGCCAGAAAGAAACTCCTTGTTAGATCTGTGTTTATTTTCTGTCCTTTCCTTTTCCCTCTTCTTCTTCTTTCCAACCCTGTGTACTCCCACGGACCATGGTCCTCCTACAACATGTACATCTCTCTCTATCTCTCTCTCTCTCTCTCTCTCTCTCTCCCTCTCTCCCTTTCTCTCTTAAACTTTCACAAATTCTGAGCAAATTAACCATGAGCAAAGTCGTGACAGAATAATTGTGACACAAATGTCAAGGTTGCCCTTGTCCGTTTTCAAGTACCCCGCATGACCTACATTAGCTCTGCTCCATATGATATACTTTAGGTCCTAAATTATCTGCTCCAGGGGTTTTGGTGTTTTATGCAATCTTCTGCTTTAAAAATAGTACCTAACTGTTTAAGGTTGTATAAGCAATTATGCCCCTCTCTCTCTCTCTCCCTCATTCTCTGTCCCTCCCCCCCCCCCTTCTCTCTCTCTCTCTCTCTTTCTCTCTTTCTCTTTTTCTCTGCCTCTACATGTATCTTTCTCTTTCTCTCTCTCTCTCTGCTTTTGTTTTTTTTGCTCTGTTTGTATTGTTTTATTGTCTTTTTTAATGCTTTCAGTGTTCTTTGTTATGACAATTCATAAAGGAAAATGTCATTATTGTCATTACATGTATATTGGTCGTATTTTTATTAATTCTACTTTCTGTAGCAAGCCTTAAATTCTCATGTAACAAATGCAATTCTTCTCCTTTGATCTATTGTTGTAGTGCCCATTTTCAAAGGCCCAATGCACAATTGCTCTTTGAAATATTACATGTTATATTCATGCCTTCTTTGGGAAATGTACACATAGTTGTATTTAAAAGGAAAGTATTATATAAAGTAATCATCAGACAAAGAAAAATGCAGGAAGCCGAGTTGAGTGACAAATGCCTCTTCTTTTAATTAACACATCCATTTCACTTATCTTGCCCTGTGCCTAAGTTTTCATATTAGTTTTAACACTACCTTATATTGCCTCCGGTTCTGTCTCTCTTCTTCTCAGTCAATAAATGGAAAGCAGATTGAAACCAATCCACCCTCCCTACCCCATCCATCCCTCTCTCTTTCTCTCTCTCTCTCTCTCTCTCTCTCTCTCTTTCTCTCTCCTCTTACTTTCCTTCTCTGTCTGTCCCCTTCCGCTCTCTTTCTCTCTCTCTCCCTTTCTCTCTCTCGTCTTGCTTTCCTTCTCTGTCTGTCCCCTACATAGAGATATATACTTAATAAGGCTAGAGTGCGGACTCGTCATACGCGCCCGTTCAAAGCTCTGTGCGCGCATGGAGCGCGGTCCGCCATTACTAAGGAGGGCACAACTTCGAGAAATACCCGGATGTTCCCTTCGAAACTGTGCTACTGATAAGCAATGTGAAGCTTCATTTTTCGAGTTGATTTATCGGTTTTCGAGTATGAAACGTTATAATTGTGGTATTTTGCATAATGCATGAACCCTACTCATGCCTCAGTCATGGTATCTGATGTAGGTCAAGATTAATTACGGGTGTTATGGTGAGGTAAAAGGGACACAAAAAGCTATTTATATTTCAGTATATCTTCAATTTTTCTTCCTCTTTGTCAATATAAAACTGCGATATTATGACATCAAATATTACTTGGCTTTCAACCAATCAGAATCAAGCATTTGGGACTTGTATTTGATATTTATGTCATGATATTAACCAAAGTTTTATGCTACAGGGCCAATGCCGGGGGTCAATGTCTTTCTAATTCAGTTATTATGAGAGCCAGGGTTTATTGATTTAAAACGCTTTAAAGGTTATATATTCATTTTATGTTTATGGCTATTATAAACAGATTGATACTTATAGATTTGGGATAGAGATGGGTATAGCTAGACATATAAATAGATGGATAGATAGATATAACATAGAAGGATAGGTAGATAATGGAAATGCAGATATAGGACGATACTGAAGATAGGAAGAGGGGAAAGGAAAGAATTATACACATTTATTTAAAAAAAATTATGTTATTTACTCATCCAATCATTCATCCATCCATCCAAACATTCTTTTTCTTCTTCTCTCACTCATTTTATATCAAATTCACATCTTATGTCTTTCACCTAATCTCTATAAAATTTCTATATGTCTGAAAGAATAATTCAATTTTTTACAGTTCACTATAAATATATATGAATATTCTTTAAAAACAGCTGATCATTGATGTAATAATTATTTATTCACATCACCTTTTTTCTCCATAAATAATATTCTCCTTGATACAGTGTATTTCTTATTTTCTTCATCAACCAGTTTTAGAGAATAAACTTATAATTCAATTTGAAGGGAAAAAATGAATAAATGAACCTTTTATTACCACACGGCACACGTGTGTTGATATTCTACAGCACAGGCATTTAAGTTTTGACATTTTATTATACTGCAATAATACAACACAATTGAAAGGACAGACATTGCAAAAACAACACCTCAGATTTTAGCCCCAAATTTACTGTCACGGATCATAGGCAACACAACCACGACAAATTGATTCGCCACCAAAGACAAGCATTACACATCCCAAAACCGCCACAATAACTCCCAAAACATAAATGTCAGGAGGCCAATGTCTATGTGTCAAGATGTCAGCGATAACGAACACTTTATTAACTAGTCTTGGCTCCAAGCGCACGCAGGCGCGTTACATTTACTAATAATACAAAGACATTTCATCGAGTAATAAATGCAAACCAGAAATAGTAATTGAGCATATATATTCCAAGTCACCTGTATTGCTATGAAGAACTATAATTGAAGAGACTTACATCTCAGGATACTGCACTACACTATTCAGTGAAACCTCAGAGTAACATGGTCTTTTGACATCATTATTCATCAGGTATAATAATAAATTTGAAACTGATTACCCTCAAATGTACACAGTAGATACAACAAGCCAAAGAGTGCACAATCTTATGGGTTTACATCTAGTGACATTATTCCATATAATTGTTCTGTTATCAAATCTCTTCAAAAGCAGTTTTCCATTTTGGAACAAAATTCAAACCTATGTACAAAACGATCTATGGGTGTGTATATGGTGTGCAACTGTGCATTACACAAGCTTTTCAATTGCAACACATCTGTGAATTCTTCTCGTTTATTGAAAATGGGCTCACTTGATGTGAATTTCTTGCTTTTCATCTTTAATGATGTAAATCACTTGGTTGAGAGCAATCCAGACAATGTTATAAAAAAAGGTCTACATGTTTATCTCAGGTTATCCATACTGTACCTGCAGAATCAAAGCACATGTAGAGTGCAAATAATTTGCAAAAATTATAGCAACTGAATCAGATACAGCAGGTACAATTATGAAGCTTATAGAGTAAATATTCAAATACAGTGTACCTCACAACAACTCAAAATTCAAGTACATTTTGTTTAACCCCTAATTTAATCAACTCTTCTAAGTTCCACTTTAGTTTGCCTTCGTGTAAAGTTAACAAACAGAAAATTATGGTTAACAAACAGAAAATTATGTCACAATGTGTCCCAAGAATTTTATTTCATTACACAGAACAAAAGTCTCAGATTGTTCTGTTTTTTTAAAAGATTATTGAAAGCTCTCTCCAGTTTTAAACGGCTTCACAGTCAATCATCCAGTGGATAAGCTATGCAGACAAGAGGCAAAATATAAAAGACTGATCTGTCTTTGTAGTTTGTACGAATGAAGTTCTATGTTTTGGTTTTTTTTCCTGAAAATGCATTCTCTCCAAAGTTGTGTTGAAGTAGGTCAAGCTGATCCTGGCTAATGAGCTTGCTTTCGTGGACTTCCTGCAAGAGAGTCCTGGTTTTTCCATCTCTCCTGTTTACCTTGTTTCACCACTTGAAGCTGTTTCTTGGCATCCTGCACTTGCTGTCTGGTTATATTCAGTTTCTAATCAACTCAGACAGAAAAAGAATAGTCATGTTCTTTTGTAATGTCATAGGGTTTCTTTGGAGGCACGGGAACACTTTCGGATGTTGTACATGGTTTTGCTGGGAGTCTTGAGCCATGGGTCTGTTTATAGGGAGGATGTCCAGGAAAGACAGTAGGCACAGCTCTAGGAATGAGATGTGGTGTGTAACATCCTTTCCTCTCTTGAGTGTATTCCTGCATTACAATAAAAGCAAATGGAAACAATAATGAGTTTTTTCTCATAACATGACAATTGTTCTACTATTCATGCTATTTCATGTGATTTTTAAGACTGAAACTGAAAGCAGCTTCCAGCCAAATAAATAAAATAATAATAATGTCAGCAAGTCATAAGCAAATTTGATAGAAATAGTGTAGTGTGCGGTGGGATTTTTAGGCTTGCCTAGCCTAGTTGGATAACTCCTGTGATGTGAAATATGGCAGGCTAGCCTGGCTTAGACCAAAAGCTTCAGTCTCTCTATATCGTCGGTTGTTCTACTGAGACTGCGTCTGGCTCCACTAGACCTCTGATTATATTATGGGGAATGTCAACAAATGTCAGTTTTATTAAAGAAATGACCCATATCAGACGGTTATTTCTGTCTAACCTGGCTTTGCTTTTCAGGCTTTAGAAATTAGAGACTAGAGTTTAGATCTAGAGTCTAGAGTCTAGATCTATCATCTACTCGATCTAGATCTAGTCTAGTCTAGATCTAGTTAAAATATAAAGAAGCTGACATTTGATTTTTAATTTATCTTGAAATTAGATAAGATCAAATTAATTATATCATTTTATTCTAGACTTTTCTTTAATAGAATCAAGCTCATGGAGTTGTATTTCCGAGTTGGACTCTCTGACTCTTGGAGTTGCGAGCGACTCCAGATCCAGCGCAGCAGAATTTTCCCATCACCATCCCCAGAACCTTAACCCATGCCTGCCCCAGCCCGGCGGGCGTGGACTGGCGCGCTCCGCTGCTGCAGGAGCTGCCGTGGCTTGTCATGAGACAACCCGGGTACAGATCGACTACAGTCACTGCATAAACTACATTTTTAGCTCTAAAATCTCCTTATTAATCAACATAACATTAAGAAGAACTTACTTGTGAAATATTATGCAGTTCCCTTTCTTTCTTCGGTTCGAACATCCAAATGCAACGCACGAACCTGGCTTCTTCAATTTTTCCACGTATGTTGTGCACAGTATCTTGTTGGGTCGTCCGTTTTTCTGCCCTCCTTAGTAATGGCGGCCACCGCTCCAGCTCGGAGCAGCAATTTGAGCGAGTACGCCCTCTAGTGTTTAGTAGTATATATCTCTATGGTCCCCTACCATTCTCTCTCTTTTCCTCTCTCTCCCCTTCACTCAGTTTCAAAGAGCCCAACATGTATTGGAGTAAGGTCTAAATGACAGACTAGCAATCTTCCACTAAACCAAGATACCATCTCAAGTCTTGGAGTTCAATATCTGTCTGCCCTGTTGAGGGAGGGCAAGGACAAATATGAGCATGTACAGCTGTTTTAAGACATGTGCATCTATTTGTTCATGGATGCAGTAAAAACAAGAAGATGCCTGTGGGATTACACTACTGGATTGTTGTTTCTGTCTGCTGTGTCTGAATACCCTTCCAATTACATATCGTCGCTGTTTTCACGAAGTGACGGTAGTGAAAAAAAATTGCATTCACTTTGCATTACGATTTTCCTCACTACCGTCACTTCGTGAAAACAAGGACGATATGCTCAATTTGATATTTACAGTGTATGCTTTAAAATTCTACCACTCTTTAAATTTTCATTACTTTAAATGCTAAAATAACAACATATGAATCTCTGTACAGCTTATTTAATTAATGTGTAAAATGCTGGATGAAATAACTGCTTGAATTATTCACAAGTAATAAGGGAAGATCAAAAAAATTCTACGTGCCTGACATACATGTACTGTATGCTGTGTTTTAAAATATCCTTTTTTTTAATAAATCTTCTGCAAACATGTAATACACATACTGCTATTCAAGGAATGGTTATGTTTCAATGAAGACAAGAAATTTGACATTTTAATAAGAATACCCATATTTTCTGCAGGTATAATTTGTACATAATATGAATCCATTAAACAAAAAAAAGTAAAACATTACAACATATGCAAGTACTGTACTGTATGCATTTTGTATTGGAGAGCTCTCATTCAAGTTAAGATATGAAAATCAATTACCCGACTTTGAGAGTATTTGTATAGCCTTAATTAATCAAATATGAAGTGCCACGTAGAACATTCATATTGAGGAAGTCTTTTGAAGGTGATGTAAACATGTTGCATAGCAACAATACAATGCAAAGAGCAATGCTAGTCTAATTCCTTTTTGGCTTCCATAGAATGAAAGCTATTTGACTGTTCAAGTAAATTGATTGAAGAGCCAGAATGCAATTTGTGTGTAATACACCACAATGCAATCTTGTATTTTAAAAAATAATAATGCAAGAACTGCTTATGTCTTAAACAATAAATTACAAGCCAAGATTTCCTATACAGAACATTTGTGACAGGTCACCACAAAATAAAAACTTGCTAATTTCATTTTTACTGTCATATCCTAAAAATTATACATTCCAAGCTTTATCATGAAACACATTTACACAGTTTAACAACTTAGTATGGCACTTGAAGTGAACTCCCAGTTACATCACAATAGAATATGACCAATCAGTAACATATTGATAAAAATATGTGTATCATGCCTAATTTGCTATCTCGTGAGATTTGCATATTATCAAGCCCTGTACGTTCACATTTTTAATAGAAGAAATGTCCTTGAACAAACCAATCCATCTGAAAGATATGGAAACATGTAACGTAATTAAAACATAATTTTTACATCACATTATTGCTTTGAACCTCATGATCTTTCAAGTCACTACACTATTGCCCATAAAAATGGAATACCTTTTTTTACCTTCTCTCATGAAGTGATTGTGATGATATGATTTATTCTTGAAATATAGAGTTTAAATCTTCTCAAAACTAGTTTAATGATCAATGTAAAGTCATAGAGAGTGGTCAATTAAGTTCCGACAAGATATTAACTTTATCCATCAAGCATACACTGTAAATCATATTGTCACGATCAATTCATAAAAAGAGGCAAGAAAATATTGCTACATTTTTATTGGCAACAATGTAGTACTTGAAAGATCACGAGTTGAAAAGCTATACGGTAATTAAAAGTAAAATTATGTTTCTACCTTAACAGTATAAAATTAGAAATGTGAGTATATTATGCAGCTAGAGCAATAATACGGTCCAGACAGCACTGGAAGGTGACCTGAATATGAATTGTAACCATGGTATCCAACACGCAGACAACAAACGAAAAACAAATCTTTGATGCAGAACGTTTCTAACGTTATTGATTAAATCCATACACCTGCATCAGCCGTTTTGTAGCTATGTCATGATGGATGTGGCTTAGAAGGTTTGCAAGTGTATACACTTCTATGCAGTTAATTGGTTTCTGAGTATGTAAACAAACATGTGCATGTACATGTATTGCATTATTGTCTTTTAAAAATTAAAAAATTAAAAAATGCATGACTGAATACGACATCCACAGGAAAGTAATTTAATTTATGTCTCTTATACAAGAGAATCAGTAGGAGAAACAACAGAGGGTCTTACATCATAAATATAAATTATCATAATAGTTTTAAAAACAAAGAAAATGAGGGTGAGAAAATAATTGTATTTTCACAGTGTGATTCTTACCAAATATTTTTGTAATGATATATTAACCAAGATATTTCATATAGACCGTGATAAAGACATTTTTTCTCTAAAGAGCAATGCGGCAGGGTGTTCATACCCTTTTGGTTTAAAAAAAAAGGAGATGTATGAAAGTAAAAAATGCAACTTTCTTCCTATTATAGACTGAAAGTGTGTATTTTTTGCAAAGTTCTGCTCATTAAATACATTCATTATGACATACATGTATGATTATTAAATGCACTAAAATATGTTTTAAAATATGTTCACATTTTCAATCATTTTATTTCAATTTTTATGTTTTCAATCTCTTTTTAATCTCTTTAATGAATATAGGCCCACAAACTACATCAAAATGAACAAGTATGGTACAAGTCTCAATGTTTACTCTGGAATTATATCATCACTGTGTAGACATATGCATGTATATGCAATAAGGAACACTTTATATCATCTTGTAATATCTTCCAATCTCAGATATAAACAGGTTTCACAACCTAGCTGTCTCCAATAGACTCCCAGGAATTTATATTTTCTTTTAAATCCTCAATTAGCATTGATTCGTCTGGCTGTTGGTTTGAGCTGACAGACTTGACATTTATGGAGGGTATAAACCGCTCTCGATGGGAAACTCAATTACCTTCAAATGTGTGCTTTAGACTGTCAATCAATCTGAATTGAATAGACACAATTTGTAGCAAATAGCATGGTGCTGCTGACCATTTATAAGTCCATATGTTATGTGAGTGCTTAGAATGCATAATAAAGTAATACACTGTACTTTTTAGAAATTATTTTGATCAGTATTAATGAAAAGGTTGCATAAGTAATGGCAAAGAAAATTTATTGGTGAATAATATTCTTTTAAAGTACATGTACATTGGTTCATAAGATGAATTTAAAAAAAATCCTATTTGAACAAACATAGATGTACAATGTACATTACATGTCATAAAAGTGCCAAGTTAATATTAATAATAACATTTGCATGTACATTGTCTATATTTTGGCTTGATGCATACATGACTTCAGACATGGTGGTTGAAAGTTCACAGTGTTTTTGAATTCAAGTGTGGTTGAAGAGGTTTGCAAATGTATAAATTGTTCATGTACATTTGTGTATCACTGATACACTATGGAGCAATGTTTTTTCATAATGGGTGTCTGTTTGTTAAATTTGTAATATGTAATGTCAAATAGTTTTTATACTTACATGTACATGTACCAGCTAGTAGGTGTAATTATAGGTGAATTGGTTTACTTTCCCATAAATATTTTTTGTTATTTGCTCATCTACTTTGTTATTTATCATGTTTTTTTATATATTAAAATTTATCATGATTGTAAAGCGCATAGAGAAATTTTCAATTCATCACGCGCTTAATAAATATTCTTATTATTATTATCATAAGAATATATGACCTCCCTTCCACAAAAAGAACATGGTACAGTACTACCGCGGTACTACCAAGATACAGACAGTACTATACCATGGCTCTATGTAGTGTACTGTAATAATTGTAATGGTACTACACGTTTGAACGTGGCCAAAATACTGTGTATCATTGTAATTTTTTTGTAAAGTGTTGGCTCAACAATCACTCTGAAAAACCATTGCCAATTTCCAGGCTGCATTTCTTTGCTCAAAATGCATGCAATTCAGGACAAAATGAACAAATATCTAATAGAATCCTGTGTCACTGATATGCAATAAGATACATTGTATTGATTCCAATGTAATTTTATTACTTGAAATCACTTTCACCTTTACAACCGTTTTATATCCTATTGGAGTATTGGTGGTTAATGGCCCTGCCAAAATCTGATCAGAAGTATTACCAGATACCAATCAAATAAGGTTGGTGCTGTTCCAGGGGGGGGGGGGGTCACTCTCATACACAAGAAGTGCTACCCACACATGTCCATCAACCTCTAAAATGGACCCTAATGGCGTAAATCTCACCTTTTCTGAAATGAACTCTAATGGTATATCGCACCTTTTCAGAAAAGACCCTAATGGCGTACATGTATGTATCCCACATTTTCCGAGATGAACCCTAATGGGGTATCGCACCTTTTCTGAAAAAATACCCTTTTGGGGATTTGGGGCGATCAGTGATTGAAACACACCAATCTTTAAGGAAAACATCGTATAGCTGGAAAAGACACCCTTTCAACGCTTTTTCTTAACGCGGTTGCATAGCCAGTCATGTTGGGAGTGAACCCAAACCTAACTGCTTTAAATGCTGTAATATTTTACAGAAGTACATACCCACGATCATACATTAACCCTTGTTATGCTTTAAGCCACGGCTAAACAATAAAAGCTCATGAATGCTGATGTAACATTGCTTGCATAAAAAAAGCATACATAAAAGTTAATTATTAGTAACTATCAAAATGTACATAATTGTTCAGACAGCTAGAGTAGCCTATCCCACTCACTAGCACTAGTACTTTTCATTGATATCTACATTTATGTGGTTGTACCTTTAACCATGTCATCTTGCACTGCAGTGAAGGCTACAACACGTACCTGTGTTGCATCTTAC